AAATTAAACCTTATTTTCAATAAGCAATCCTGAAAAATATTTGTGGGTGCTTAACTTTTTTCCAGGTGTATATGTTGTTTGTATGAACTCTTACTTCAAATCTTGATTTTGACCCTCGCATAACATTGCAAGAATCCATCAGGATTAACATGAGGTTTGTCCATGGTAGTCCCTTTTCCTCAAACAAATCAACCAGTTCCTTATGTATGGACTCAGTGTTAACTTTGATGACACAAGATGAACGTTAAATGCTTTACAGTCACTTTATTTCATTCAGGTGAATAACAAGAAGTCAGAATAGACAGCACATTTGAATGTCTTAGATGTTGCCTCTAAGACATTCTTTGTTCTTTAGATCATTGGCCAATTCATTTTGTATGAAGTTGTAGTTCTGTCCATGCTCAACTAAGCCAAAGTTTCACTATCTCTTGCTAGTGTCTTGATTAGGTCCACCAGATCTGGTGCATAACCAAAGTGAAGACTTTTCTGCACCAGAAATCCTAGAAGCATGGCCTCACTATTTGCCACACAGGTTTTACAGGAATACAAAGCTGGGGTTGTGGTGCAGGCTTGGCCACTGGACCTGAACAGTGGGTGAATACTGTATGATTCATCTCTGCATGTAGTACTAGCTCCATTAGCTGAAAAAGAAATATGTGCATTATATACAGGGAAAGTAATCAAAATAGCAAATGGGAACATTGCCTAGTGCAGTTTCCCCTATTTGTTACAGCATGTTAAAAACAATCAACATCATGGAATAGCCATATTGCCTATCATGTACTAAAATTGAATATTCTGCAAACAGAATATACGGAATATATTGAAAAAATCATAAAAAAGCCCAAATCCACCATTGTATTCAATTATCCAAACACTGAGGGTAAGAAAGTAAGCATTATATCTTTCATTTCATGACATTATTAGAACATCTATGCTATACATGTGATCATACACCAGTAATCACCACAATAAATATTTGCATTGCTTTGTGTATATGCTCACATTGTTTTCACATAAGAATAATGAACCACACACACCATATCCTTACCCAATGATTCAGATTCTGAGAGAAAAACTACTTAATCATGTAGTTTTATCATCAGATACTTTTTCATCTAATATTAAAATGTTTGAGGGCTAGGTAATCATTAACATCATTGTACAATTCTAACTCAATAATGAGAGAACTTCAATAAATCATTTCTAGTACACAAACCTGTAAGCCTGTAGTTGGACTTCCTCATCTGGAGCAGTTGCACAAGCTTCATTGATTTGGCATGGGCTTCTGAAGCTTTGGCTCCATTGGTTGAGTAGTTTATCCCACACTCAAACCATACACAGTAGGCTTTACCAGCTGTGGGAAATTTATGAATAAAAATATCCAGCAAAACGTCACCCACACCAAATTTTTAGATCCAAGACCAATTCCGTTTGTTTTTGACAGTTTTGTCAATATCCTTCCTCAGGACAAATTTATGCTCCATTGCATCACTGTATTTAATAAAACCTTCGTGAAATTTACTAGTGCACATGCAGTATCACATAAATTGCAATTAGAGTCTATTTAGCAAGGCATGGCCCCATAGTATGCCCCCCCCTCCCACTTCTTGCATGTATGGCACATATCATTGGAGCATACATAAATCATCCTATTATTGCCCACAAATACAGTGGATTCACAGAGCTAAATCATGATAAAAATAGTTTTTAATCAAATGAATAACATACAAACTGAGGAGATGTAATTAAAGTCATCTAGACCGATGTTTACCTAACAATTTGAAAGAACTGTGAACCTTTATCACAGTTGGATTAAGTGAGTGAAATGAAAAATGAAGGGCCAGGTTTGAAAACAATCTTGTGGTTAAATGGCTGGTGCATGAGATGAAATAATGTGGTATATGATAGTAAAATGTTCTATAAGATCAAATTTCAACATCATTAGAAACAGATGGTTCTTAAAATAGTCGACATTCAAAGGATTATTTTTTCTATATACCTCTCTTGGTTTCTTGACTTGTTCTGGCTCAGCACATGTTTTTCACTCCCCCTGGCAATAACTAATGATGCTTCCTATTGGATAAAAAGCTGCTCTTGGCACATATTCATCCAATCACAGTGCAACTTCTCAATTTTTAGGGGTAGATTGTTTACAGCCAGATGAAGTACACAGGGGTAATAAAAACAAATGGCAAATGGGGTCTAAACATTTCTTAAATCTTTTAATGAAAAAATACATAGGGAAAAAATAAACGCCTTATTTAATAATTCTGTACTTTTTTTAGGTATGTTGTACAGTCCTATTTTCAACATTAATACCATAATCAGTATGGTTGGCATCTTTGGAGCTAACTCCAAGAACTTATTTTTAGTAAAAATTACCTTAATGCATGCTTGACAAATAATTCTGATATATCTATTGTCCCTGTACATGCTCATCTTAACGGTTAACTTTCTTAACTAAAAAAAAAAAAAATCTAAACTTACAGTACAAATTCCATATAGTAATGGACATTAAAACTAGCATGAACATGGGCACTTAATTTGGATTTGAATATGCTGTGCACTTTCAATGGACTTCAGGATATTACAAAACCATAAATATCAACATGTCAGATTTTAAGAGTAAGTACAAACAAAAAATAATATTTTACTAGAAAAGAATTGTATAACATACATTCTAAAACCTAATTATTGTGGCAGTAAAAGACCTACACTGATGGAAGACATGGCTATGTCACATTAAAATGTGATTTAAAGTTATCAAAATAAATAAATAAATATATATATACAACATTGAATTATCTTAATATGTTACACAATGAGCAAGCATATTAAAAAACTCTTAAACCTGTTGTCATATGAATGAAAAAATGTTGCAGACAGTTTCTCTAATCTATGATCATTACAGTTTTGTGAGCAGAATTTATTTTACATCTCTGGTGAAACATATAAAATGTCATATGCATAAGATATAAAAATAGAAATATCTTTACTTTTGGAACAAATTTTTTAGTAGTTCGTTCTTTTAAAGCTCTATTGTTAGCACGAGCATCTCTATCAGGGCCATGCATCCTCTTCATGTGTTCTTTGAGCTTGTCTTTTCTTTTGAATTGCTTTCCACAATCTGCACAAAGAAACTCTCGATGGTTTGAGTGCCTCAGCATATGTAATTTTAACTTGTCAGGTCGAGGAAAAACCTTATCACATTTATCACAAGGGTATCGTTTATCTGAATGAAAAGCTCGAATATGCTTTCTGATCTGATTATATTCTTCACATCTCTGAAACCAAATAATAATGGATACATTGTAGTATTTCAATATAAATGTAATGCAATAAATACACATGAATAATTATGCAATCTGATAAACATCTCACAGATAAAATTTCTTTACTTACTCACATGCACATTGTATTTAACTTACTATAAATTAACATTTTATTTCACTATTCAAGTTGTATTTAAACCACTTTTATTTCTAGATTTGTAGTTTGTTCTTTTATTTGATTCAATCATTTCCAGGTTGGAGGGTTGTAACCAACACCCTATTTATTTTGTATTATTACAATTAAAATATCTAAACAAATTGGATGAAACTTAAAACTTTGTGTAAACTTTTTAAATAGTCTAATTTTTAGGTTTTGAAAACATTTTGTTGTGAGACAATATTAAAAAAAAACAACAATAAAATACTTTGTTTTTTTATCTTAAGACTTTCCTTTTTCATCATTACTGATTAAAAATTTCTATTTTACATACCCAATAAGTTTTAACTTGTTTAATATTCATCAACATATTGCTTTTGTCAGTTTATTCTCCATTTGAAGCAGTAAATCAATACAAACATGGTATGACTTAGTAAAGTTTATTGGTGAACATTAACCTTAGCTTTCAATACAATTACACCATTAACTTTCTGAAAGATGGAAGTATGATATTTTGCCAATTCTATTTTCTGAGAAGCTCCGTTTATATCTTACAATTGTGGTTGTTTTAAAGACATAAGAATATTTTGTATTTGTGTGTTGTTTGACCATAAAAGAATTAATTATATGTTCACAAAAAAGTACTTGTGTCACCTGAATAGTTTGCCAACACAAGTGACGGCTTACCATACACATTAAACCTCAACATCTGTACCTGATTTCATAGAAAACTCCTGCAAATTTCAAATGAGCATAATATAACACACAAAAAAACATTATCAGCAAGGAAATGAAAATCAACAGACAGTATGATAAAACAACTGATGCTTCCAAATAAAGGGAGAGTATTTGAAAACTTTGTCTTGAGGTTGCTTTGTCGCTCATGACTACACACAACTCATCATTTAAAACAGAAAAGCTAGGGGTATAAAATATGTCATAGCCTCAGGATAGCAGGCTAGAGAAATGTACTAATCCAAACTGAAATAATACAATTTACTACACCATATATGACAAATATGTAAAATATATGGGCAGATTAACCAGTTTACATATGTGAAAGACTGGTTTGTTTATTGTTAAACTGATTTTTAGCATTCCAGGTCCATAGACTTATGACAGAGATGTAAAATTTACAAAAAGATTGACCCTATCGCCACGGGTATCCTTTACTGTGCACGACACAAGGTTTTAATGTCTTACATTAAAAATTTTATGAAGCTACTTTTTTGTTTATGTTATACCAGTTAGTATAGCATAAAATCTTAGGTAATAAAGATCAACATGGTTGAACTGCATCTTGCATGCAAATCATCATGAGACAATCTTATACCAATAGGAGTGTGACACCCTCCTGATGCATGTGACTCCCTTTATTTGATTCTAGTGAACTATCACTTCGAGTTTTGGCAGAAAACAGACTCATCGGTTTGCAGTGGGGAGGAAGGGTGGGAAATGTGAGGGGAGGTAAGTACTTATCAGAAATACATTTTCAGTATAGAAAAATTATAACTTCAGATACAGTACATTACCTCTGCTCATATAAATAACTAGAATGCCACATTGAAAAGGTAGAGGGACCAGTGCGAGGGAAAGAAAGAAGCCTCCTTTGAAAGCATCTGAAGGACACCCTAAAAGAGTAGATCCTCACAGTAAAGGATCAAACGTGGGAGACCACATTACTTCTGTACCAGTGTGGAAAGAGGTGTTGCAGACATGGGCAGAAATTGGGAGGAGCACATCCAAAAGGGAAAGAACAATGGTTGGATAGGGAACCGAACCACACAATATTGGAATCTCAATCCCATAGAGTATATCAATGTGGGTGAGAATAAAAGTATGTGCTTCCAGGTGGAGAGTGGCTAGGGTGCGACAGACCACACATGACAAGTCAACTGCATCCAAAACCTGGCCACCGAGAACCAACATCCATTTGGGGGTAGGAGGGGGTAGAGGTGCATACAGTCTTAATCTCAATCAAGTTCAGCAGACCAGTGGAAATCTCGTATCCCCAATCTATGAAGGGAGGGATGAAAGCAATGCAATATATCATTTGACAGATCCCGGAACCTGACATCTGGACGATTGGTATGGTAAAGATGTCTCCATAATGTAAGCTATCACACTCAAAACCAATCCAACAGGAACCACCCCAATGCAATAGCATCCTTGGTATAAGAAAATCATCAAGGGGTAGCATAAGAGGAAGAACCATATTAATCTGCATGTTCCACCACCATGACCCATAAGACAGGTGGAGGGAACAAGAGTATAACTGAGTGAAGAAACAGAGACACCTATAATACATGTGTGAGGACTTACATTGATTGGTTCAGATCTGAATCCAAAACCCAGCCACTGGGAACCAACATCCATGTGAGGGTAAGATGAAGGATCCAAATCAAAGGGGTGAGCTGCAGTTTTGACTGCTCACCCAAGAGCTACAACATCCCATCAGAAAAACCAATACAGAGATGAAGCATCATATTGGAGGACATCATGTTATCTAAACCAGCAGAACACCATTATCCTACTCTCAACTGAATGGTTTTATCATTATCTGTATCGTATATCATTATCAGATTTAGAAAGATGCCTCCATTGTCCACTACCCCAGCAGCTTGAAACTGGAAATTGTAAGGACTCCCATACTCCACTGAAAGAAAAAGGGGGAGAAAATGTGGTGGAAAGTCTGGAGGAACATCAACACTGGAGACAGTGCAACTGGTGACCATGAAAACCCTATTTTGAAAAACAGGCCATACTTGATTTATTGAATCGAAGGCATGGTAGGGACAGGCAGCTATCCCCTTCTGCTTTACCAATGAAGTTCATGGGCGAGTACGGTCTGGAACAGGCATATTAATGGAGCAAATATATCACAAGGAAAACCTAAGAGTGATTTTGTGGAACACCCCATCTCAACAGTGTGCATTTAGTGGCCATGGAAATTATAATTGCTAAGTCATCATGGCCTTACAGTGCAGATTTGACTAGTTTAAGTATACCTGGACTGGCATCACTCACCACAGAGTGGGATTCATAAAGAAAAAAAGAGACATAAGAGGTATAAATACAAAAAAGTATCTTACCTAGTCACAGTCTCATCAAAGAGTGAAGTATGGCGACAGGTGGAAGAAACAGCTACCTGAAGCAGAAAATGGGAGATAAATGTATGAGGTGTAGTCCCAGTGCTTGTCGTAAGAAGTTCCTCCAATGTACGATGAGGGTAAGAGGCAGGTTAATGGGAAGGTGCCTATTCAGAATGAAGACACCCTGAAATGATTACAGGGAAAAAGGAGACAAGGAAGAAAAGGCTAATCGAATCAAAAGCCGAATCCAAAGAGTAAGGGAGGAAGGAAAAAGTCACAAACAGAGGAGTGGTGCCAGGGAATGAAACAGCAGAAAAAGGAACCTACAGAAAGAAGCCTTGAAGGCAATGAAGCAATCCAGAGCAGGCACAAGATCTATAAGACCAACTGGATCTGACTGGGATTAAAGGTGGAGATAGAAGGAAATGAAAATGAAGAAAAGGAAGAATCTGCCCCACAAGATGTCAAAGTGGAGGGTAGGAAAACTCAATCCAGAACAAAAAGGACAGATCAAGCTGAAGCAGCTGAGAAAAACCATATCTGTGTCAGTCAGGAAGGAGCAGTCAGAAAGACCTGACACAGTGTGGCAAGGACAAACAAAATCACCCTGACAAGATGACAAATGGGATGAGAAAATAAAGGTATAAACAGGTCTCAATCCTGTTTGAACACATTGACAGCTAAGGCAAGTGGATGAGGAACCAGATACAGATATACAGATCTGAAGCAAGCTTGAAGGTCAAATCATGAAACTAGTACTCAATCAGATGGTGAACAACTGAAGACAGTGCCATGAGGGATGAAAAATAGGAATGTGGGCATAAGAATACAAAATTTTGACCGTGGGCATCTTCAGTCCTGGAGAAAAGGCCCACCACGGTGTGATAAAAGACAATATAGCAAAAAGGGAAAGAACCAAAAAATGATTGAGGTGAGATAGATCAATCACAGAACTCTAATCTGTACTTAGAATACACAACTTATGGAGGAACTCTTTTATGCAGTACAGGTAAATGATGGGAAGGTGCCGGACATTGGAACATGAAATAAAGAATGCAATGGCTAAAGAGACAAATGAGCAACCAAAAAGAAAAATCAAATGTAGCAATACAGATACCCCATGTGATGCTAAAGTGACAGGAGTAACACCTCCCCCCCCCCCCCAAAAAAAAAAACAACAAAAAACAAATGGACCAGTGGAGGAAAGGAGCTGTCTGTATGTCTCAATTAGAAGTGGAAGGGAAACAAAATTGGTACAAGACAGTGTCCCATCCCAGAAGATCCCAAAAGCAAAGAAGCCACATTTATAGGAAAAGAGCTGAAGATGGCAATCACTCCAATATGAAGGTAAGGAGGAGGAAGGTATCCCACGAAAAATCCCCAAGAACTAGACAGAATGCCTCAAAAAGGGGTTGTATGGCAGCCAATACCAGTAGGAGAGGCAATAGGGGAAGACGAAGACTGGAAAACTTGGATAGGGAGAAAGGGAAAGGATTAACAGATTCTGACACTCATACAGGCAATAGAGATTCGAAGTGCAGAGAAGCAAGAAAACAAAACAACAAAAAAAAACAACAACTGTGAAACGTGTATAAAAAGGGCTGAGGTATGCCTAGCAGATTCAAAGATAGAGGCCTGGTACCAAAAAAACATCTTAACGATAGCACTGACAAACAAGAAGTGATAGTTTGGTAAAATCAAATAAAGAGAGTTACATGCGTCAGGAGGGTGTGTCACATTCCTATTGATGGAGGTTATTGTATGATGATTTACATGCAAGATGCAGTTGAACCACACTGATCTTGGGGTGTGTGGGAACTCAAGGCTTGTGGCATGTGAAAACAATTTTGCAAATACAAGGCAGCACTGAATGAGAATAGCTATTTATGTGAGAGGAGGTAATGCATTGTATCACAAAATTTGATTTTAACAATTAAAAATCTAGAAGTGGGATGCTTATGGCTCAGACACCAAGCTTAGGAACCAGTAAATTAATAAACGAAGTACAAGTGGGTTGTTTACAGTTCTGACACCTAGCTTAGGAGCTAGCATAAGTAATTAAATAGCTTTAGTGGAATGTTTATAGTCCAGACATCTAAAGACACAAAAGAAATGATAGTTTGAAATTTAAAAAAATTGTATTGATGAAATAAGCTAGCTAATCATTATATAATGTTAAAATATCAATTCTTTAATGTTTTCTAATTAAAAATTTGTTGAAGTAGAATTGACTTGCATATATTAAATTAAATTTTGAAAGTTAATTTGCAATTATGCACCCTTAGTGACTTGAACATTCACCAATCAGGAAAGGATTAAACTTAGTAAATTATCTTATTATATAGATAAAAACAATTGCAGAAATATTCTTTAAAATGCACAAGAGATAACTAAAATAAATTCCTCACAAACTTAGCACTATTTGTTGACTTTAATATTTTCTTAAAATTATCTTGGTGTTTGGAATGTATCTTATTTACCAATTACAACCTTTTCATTAAATAATATTTATATGTAACCATAAATAATTATTCAATATAGACCTAAATAAAATGTTTTTAATTGTGTACCAGTTTAATGTTGAATATTATTTATGATTTTTTTTACTTCTAGTCATATTAAACTTAACAAATATTCAGCATTGTAAGATATAAAAGTGATTTTATCCTATGAATCAAGTAAAACATAAAGCCCTTCACAAAAATGAACTAATTAACAACATAATGTAACCAAAGTTGACTAATTTTTATCTTCTATTCAAGACGTATAAAAAACATATGATACACTATTGAGAATGTTATATTCTTTTGTTTCCTGATAAAAAATTATCATGCAAAAATGTAGAAAAGCTTCTTATTTAACAAGTCTATTGTATTAAGCCAGCTTAATGTCCACCTTGAAGATCCAGTAACACTTTCACGTTGATGTATATTACATTAAGTTCTTAATGTAAATGACATATTCAGTATTTGAACTTTACAGGAAAACAGTGCATATTGTCTAACATTGTAATATTACAAGTTATATGAAAAACAAACTACAAGTATTTTTTCTGAAAACTAAAACAATTTTGAAAATAAGCCCAATTTTATTATAATGAGAATAGCTGTGCAGATCTCTACTTTTACACAGGATTAAGAAGTTAGCATACTGTATTTTATCTTATTTTATATTATCTCACCTTTTGACAATGAGGACAGGTAAAGACACCATTTTCGCTGTGACTGTGTACATGTTCTTTTAATCCAATCATTTGGTCAAAGTTTTGTTTGCACATTGGGCACTCATAGGTTTTTCTGTCTTCACTGAAACAGGCACAAAACTGTCAGAAAAATATTATATAATATTCCTCAGCAAAATTACACTTATAATAAAATAAAAAATAATATTGGAAAAATTACATATATGATCTTGGAAAACAAACCTTATGAAAAACATTCTACATGCATAATTATGTTCCATTTTAACGTAATTTAAAAACAGATAAAAAATTTTACATGTGTATTATTACAAATAAAATATTAAGTTCCATTCTGGAACTTACTGTTTGTTATGACACCTCACTTTTAGTGTACCAGGCACATTCATTCCTTTTAATGCAACCTTCTGTTGTACTAGGTTTGTGAAATATGATGTGATCTCTTTTGGATCTACCTTTCTGATGAAAGTAATGTTCACTTTATAATAATTCTGTGAGATAAAAAAATATCTTGCTTACTTATGGACCTTAATGTGGCAAGCCAAAGCAGAATTATTCAAGAACCTCTTTAAGCAAACATCACACTGGAGAGGTTTTGATTCATCACTTCCATGAACCAAATAGTGGCGCATTAGTCTCTCATCAGTTGCAAAAGACTTGTAACAAAGGTTACACTTGTAGGGCTTTTGAGGATTGATAAGGCCTTTCACTGATATAACTTTGGAGTAAGTTTTTCCATGAATAGCAACATGTTCACTTAAAGCTTTCTTGTCAGTGAATGGCTAGTAGAAAGATTAATAAAAATACAATAATGTTAATACATGACTTCTTATGTCAAAAATCTAGAAAATTTCATGCAACAATTAAATATAACTTTACTAAATTTTAGGTGCAAATGCACTTCTGCTCAATGTACTCTAGAGTAATGAAATATTACAACTAGTTAGCTCTATTTTGTTGCCAGATGTGATTACAATATTTAAGGCATGTCTGAAAAATAAAAATAACAAAAACCTGACATTAAACACACATATATAACAACCAACCAGTGTATTAATAATGTATATTTCTTTATTATACATTATTTAAAAGCATTTATGGTGCAAGTACATACTCTTTTCATGAAATTATCCTGGTTTGATTAAGGGAGATAAAAAAAGGAAGTTTATTTCTGGGGGATTGAAGGGTCCAAATCTAAAAGTGAGATGGTTTGAAAAATTGGAAAAAACAAAACAAAAACATTTAAAATGTGTTTATCTTATTTACAATAACTATTATAATTACTATTACCAAAAAACATGTAAAAAAAGTATTTTCATTTTGCTAAACCCTTCTCTTAAAAAAGTCTTTCATCAAACAAAAAGTTTTTGTAAAGTTTCTCTTTCTAAAGATATAGAAGAAATCATGGTTTTAAAAACCAAAATACAATTAGATACACATAAGTAAAATATATTTCACTAATAAATAATTAATTTGTGTGGTGATAGAAATTTTACTATGCGAGTTCTAAGAGTGCTGATAATTAAGACTGAATTATTTCCCCCTGCCAAATTCAAAATGTTGTATTGGATTATCATAGCAATATCATAAGTACAGTACTAAAAACTTCGTGGCAATGTTTTTTGCCAGAAATATAGTTTTAACTAAAATTTATAATTTTCTAAAGATTTTTTTGTCCTATTTTGATAAACATAAAGGATAAGAATGAAAATAAAGTATATTTTTTATAGGTTTAAAAAAATTTCACTGGGAAACTCATTCCAAATGGAAACTAAAGTGTTACAAGTACTACATGCAAGGTTACAGAATCAAGACAACCTTTTTACACTTTGGACATTTGGTAACATTTTCTACTAAGTTGTTAATTTCATTCTCAGCTTGTAGATGTTCCTTTGATCTGGAGGTTGTTTTATTGTTAATCTTATTACTATCATTTTCTTCCTGCTGAGCTTCTGTTGAGTCATGAATCTCAGAATGGAGGTTTAGAATTTTAGAGTTGTCAAAAACTAGAGGACAACTAGGACAGGCCCACATTCTATTCTCCCTTCTTTTTGGTAAAGTTCTGAGTGAACGAGGAATACCTTCTGTTTCTCCTCGCTGCCGGTGTCTCCGGACATGCCTAACGAAAAAAAGAAAATGAAGTATACACTTATCTTTAGCTTAAGGAACATTGTAAAATATTTCAGTTAAATAAAGAAGGTCAATCTTGTAGGTGCATATCATCAAGTAAAATCTTTAATATTTTGTTTTTTCTTGGAGAAAAAAACTGAAAGTAGATAGCATTTTTGTTAAAGATCGCTTGTTCAGATTAGCTTTAAATATAGGATTTTTTGCATGTAATGTTTTGAGAACTAATTTACAAGAGATCTAAACAAAATATTAAACTCTAGTAAAAGAGGCATATTAATGGAATTTATATTTGTATTAGTGCATTACACTTACCTGTTCCTATTGTATACATGGCTAAATTTCATGTCACAAATTGGACACTTGAAGCGCTTTTCACCTGTATGCATGATCATATGTCTTTGTAGGCTGTAGTTTCTAGGAAATACTTTATGACAGATTTCACATTCAAATTCTTCAATTTTTGCAGTAAGCTACACATAAAGAAATACAGAAAAAGGATAGGTAAATCAAACAATGATCACTGTACATGCTACTAAAAAATCACCAACATATTATCATCACTCAAGAGAAAGAAAGAAAAACCTCTCTCAGAGAATGCTTTAAAACCTCATTTTGAAATTTCAACATTTAACAGTCAATCTATTTTTCATGAATAAGATCTGGTTACTTATTTTTGTTTAAATCAAAGAATTTTTGACTTATGCAAGTCTACCTTATCAGTCAAGTCTCAACAGCTTGGGGTGAAGGTTACAGGGAATGTCTAATTGATTTTAGTTGCATAAAGAAGTCTTAATCATTTGGTCCAAATAATTAAAATTTTTTTAGCCCAACATTATTCATATTGTTTAAAGTTTAATATAAACAATTTTTTTATTCACAAAGCATCCATTATAAAAAGTTACATATATCAACTAGGTTAGAGCAAAACCATCTCATAAGCCACTCTGTTGGCTTACCTACAATCCAGAACCAATTTTACAGGTTGATACCTTCCAGCACATAAACATTACCTCTTAACTTTAATTTAAAATTTAACTTTAAACAATTTAGCACGTAAATCTTAATACAATAAGCAATTATTAATTTGTAAAAATATCCAAAATTAAAGTTCACAAAGAAAAGCAAGATATTTACCTTTTTCTTGCATGATGAAAGCAACTACATTAACCAATTAATAAGTGTCAAATAAAAGTTGAGCCTATTGACACTGATAATGTTTATGGTGCTAATATTCTTGTTTTTTTACATACAGGTTTTCACTGCAGCACATATGAAGATAAATATCAAACAAACCTCAGGATTTTTTGGCGGTCTACCTCTGGGTCTTTTATGGGTTTTGGGCAAGACTTGTGTAATAAGTTCTTCTGATGCCATCTATGAACAAGTAGCAGTTCAGAAACGTTTCAGTAACAAAAAAATTCAAAGTTCTATCTATCTATATATATTCATAAATGGTAAATACCCCCACTCCCAAGTACTGGTTTATTCAAATAAGCAAAGCAAAAAACACAAGCTGAAAAAAAAACCAAGAAAACCTGCATTAAAAACAATTTAACATTGTAACATAATATAACTAATAATAATAAAAAATACCAATCCTATCTTATCAAAAAGCTTGTTTTTCATTTAAAAAAAATTATCAGTTCATTTAGTTCACTTGCTTTGAAAAACTTAGTATTCAAAATTTTAAGTGCAAATTGTTGCTGTCTACTGGTAAGTCTCTCTTTCCTTTATTGATACATAAATATTATATGAAATAGCCTAGTTATTTTGAGTTTGGGCTGTCTATAATATGTTGTACTTAATCTACGGAAAGCTGGAATAATAACAAAACAAATTTCATCACATTAATGGTTGTATAAGTACTATTACTTTTAAATGTCCCTTTTTTCTAGTACAAAATATGATCAATGAAAAAAATACAGACTACTTCCAAACTAGAAACTTCACACACCCCATATTGCTAACCAAAAGTTTGCTATAAATTTTTGAGGAGATAATAAATAGCGTAACACTTGTTACCATTTCTTACAAAATTATGAAGGTGCATAAGCGTATTAAAATCAGGTAAATTTACCTCAGAAATATCAAAATCCTTTTCTTGTTGAGTTGCTCTCATGCTGTCAACAACCATATGACTTCAAATGCTGAATACCCTGCCCCTGATGGAATGCAATGCATATGGCAATTTACCCAAAATTCTACACTCTCCAATAGAAGAATGTATGCAAGCACTGTTTTCTTGCTATAAGTCAGTTTATTTTGTTGAAAATTATGCTGTTAACTTTGTCAATTATGAATTTCCAAATGAATTTTAATTCTGTTGCAAATGTTTCTATCAATACCAAGAATTACGTCTTCTTTAAAAGCTTTACTAATGCAGTTTATATGTAGCATGCAGTGATAGCCTGTGGCTGCATTGTCAGCTCTCACTTATCAATGAATATAATTTATTAATGCCAAACTGTCTGCTGGTATCCCTGGCAGGTTTCTAGATTACATGGACGTTTGAGTTGTGAAACACCCACTTTTTTCTCATGATGTAAAACAAGAATGTTTACTTGTTCAGATTTTTTGTGTCTGAAGAGCAGGATTTGACAACTAGTCCTAATTTGATGAAGCTTCTGTTGGTCTGATTTCTCTTATTCTTTGCTATAATTTATTTTAAATCTTGAACCAATTTCTGTTGTGTCTGAGGGTGTTAGTGTCATGTTGGATGATTTAGTTCTTGAATCACTATTTATTCCACCTTCTACTGATATTCATGTCATCACCGATGCTTTCAGACATCACCAAAATGCTAACAGCTTTCATATTCCTCACATTTCTCATGCAGAGTTAACCAGGGTCAATTTTCAGTATTCACCTTTCTTCTCAAGTTCTTTGCCCCTTAGTTCAGTTAATGGGGAGGTGTCCACATGATCTACGACTTTGACTCATTGTCAGTGTTCTGCTCTGAGCATTATGAGTTGTCTCATTTTGAGGCTTTATTCAGTGCAGTTATTAGCTACTCATATTCTCCTCATTATTTTCGTCAGGGTCAAATTTCTACCTTGCAGATTTCCTTAGATAAGGTTCTCACTGATTAATTTATTATCAATGTGGTCCTTACATTCCTTTGACACCTTATTCCATCGTGCTATGTTGCACAGTATCTTTTAAACATAGAACTAAGCAAGATGGTCTTCTGGATCCAATCAATGACTCTTCTGTTCCAGCTGAATTCCCTATTGGGAAGTTGTCTTAAATATAATATTTTTGACCCATAGTTTTGATAGATCCTTCAGAGTGGTTTTCATCCTTCCCCCCTTTCTGTTCAACCAATGCCTTTGCTTCTTCCTTCCAATCCAGTTTGCTTAGAATTTCTGGATCAGGAAATCTCAGATCTCCATCATAAAGTAGTAGTAAAAATTGCTTATCACACTTCTCCAGCATTTTATTCCTGTCTCTTTGTGGTTCCCAATAAATTAGGAGATTGGAGACACCTTAGTTAAAAATGAAAAACATGGAAGTTTCTTCATCATGACCACTGATGTTGATACTTATCTTTATATCCCTATTAATCCATCATTTCCTTCATTTTTGCTATCAGAGGGTAATATATCAGTTCACTTCCATTCCCTTCAGCTTGGCTTTAGCTCCTCTAATTTTTTGTCAAGTCGTCAAAGCATTTGCTGGTATTCTCTATTCACTTAACATATACTTTCACTTCTACATGGATGAGTGACTTATTCTGACCCTTTCATAAACTCAATTTTTTCAACACATCCAGCTCGTCACCCAGCTGGCTTTCTTGGGTGCATGATTAACAAATCCAAATTCCAGTTAGTACCAACCCAGCAACTAGTATATCTGAGATTTTGGTTCAGCACAATTTGAGGAACACTTCAGAAGTCTCCTATTTGAGCCTTTTGTTCATACTTAATGTCAAAGATGTCCTTTTTATTTTGCTTCATGAAGTAAATCTTTTGGGGCATGCTCACACCTTTAATAGGATCTTGTTTCTTAGAGGTTACATCTCTTGGGTGGATCATTCACAAATCCAAATTCCAGTTAGTATCAATACAGCATTTGGTATATTTTGGAAACACATAAATACGTTTTTACAGTGTTGCAAGCCTTTAGAGTATTGTCCAAATACTCTTCTATCTCTCATATCTGTTGCCAGAGACAGCTTTTCTGCTTTGGGGAACACCCACATGCTACACCTCCAATGAGACTTTGCCTTTCTGTGGTAAAACAAAGGAGGGACTCAATGAAAAGTAAGAGAAATTAAAGGGACCCATTGGTATAGAGTGGCAAGGGTGTGACAGACCATAATTGGGAGTTCTACCTCAACCAACACCTGGTGGCATCTGGAATTGTTAATTCAGGTTCATGGTAGGAAGAGGGTTCTCTAAAATACAACTCAAAAACGGGTACCAGCATGGTTGAGGAGCTTCCTTACCAAGAAACTGCCTCTACATGTGCACACCTTCAACATAATCAACACCAGACCCACTGGGAACCAACATCTGGCAGATGGTAGGAAGGTGGAGAGCCCAGGTGGGTGTTCATCTCCAATCCAAAACCTGGTGACATTGGGAATTTATCATCCACTCAATAGTAGGAGAAGGATAATCACCCAAATGCATGTGAGGACTTATGTGGCTGGCGCAGCTCCAATCAACACTAGATCCACTGGGAACCAGCATTTTGTAGGAAGGAGGTGCTTCAGCCAGAGGAGGAAACTGTAATATATGGCAGAGTGCTATATCTAACACCTGGTGGCATCTGGATTTGTACATCAGGTCTGTGGTAGGAAGGGCAGTGGCATTATGCCATCTACATGGCATAATGCCACTGCCCTACTCTCAATTGAGTGGTGTTGTGCACACTTAGAAGGACAGGTCTCCATGGTCCACCTCTACAGCAGCTAGAAACTGGTAAGTGGCAAGGACTCTCATACTCCACTAGAAGAAAGAGGGAAAAGGTGTTGGAGATTCCTGAGGACTACAGCACCAGAGACAGTGCAATGGGTGACCACAATACCCTATTTTGAATGGAGTTGATCAACCAACACAAGGCAGCATCTGAAATTGTACATCAGTACCAGTGTAGGAAGAGCCTCAATGCCACAGATCATATGAGATGTTATATAGACACAGTTCTTACAGTGCAGATTTAAGACTAAGTATACCTGGTCAGGCAACACTTGCCACAGAGTGGAATCAAAACATGCGAGAAAGACCCCTGCAAAGAAAAGTAAATGAATGGAGTAATTACCACTCACTGAGGAAGAAAAGTGCAAAGGTATGCAAAGTGGTCCACATACCTGCATTGATGATGTTCTCCAAGGGAAGATGGAAATGCATAGCCAAGAATATGGGAAGAAAAATGAAAATGGGACAATCTTTGAGAGAAAAGGATAGAACATGCCAGGTGAATCAACTGGCAAATCCAACCTTGCAAAAGAGTCAGCCAGAATCAGAATAGTTAAAAAGACGGGAAATGGAAGTAAGGGAAATGCAGAATTACCCTCTCGAGCAGCCGGAGTTTGGGCATAAATTAATGATCTGGAAAGAGGAGAATGTAAGAACTATGAAACAAAAATGCAGTGGACATCACCTGTGCACACCATTGAACTACAATGTCCAGACACCAATAGGAGCAAGAAAAAGGACTATAAGGAAGGTGATATAATGAACATAAAGACACATTTTCAAAAGAAGGATGGGTAAGAGCATGTATGATCACACTGAGATTCCGAGCAGTGAGTGAAGCAGAGCAAGGAGGATGGAAAAGGCAGAAAGAATGAAACAACATGGATAAGACTGGCAAATGGAAGACTAAAGCCTATTTGGTAACCTAAAATGTGGCTGATAAATCCACCTGATAGCCCACAACAGAGGAAACTGAAAGGCCTCTGTTAAAAAGCCAAAACAAAATTGGATGTGAAGTGAGGAACATTAGGATGGGAAGAATCATAACTGCATTGGATAAACCAACAGCAGTACATGTAACAATGATGTTAGTAAACCATGAAGGAGGAAAGATGGACAAGATGGGAATTTAAGGAAGCCACACTATGAGAAAGTCTGACCCTTCTGGTGAGGGACTGGACAAAAGCCACTCATGAAGACAGAATGTGGGAATGGACAGATGACGCACACATGATTGGGGATAATGTAGGATCAACGATGATAAAGGAAGGGGAGCAAAACCAAAACCCAGCACAGCAGTGGAAACCACGTTTAAGCCAGTCAATATGGAGCCACCAACAAATAAATGACACACACAGGATAATAAAACCAAGACAAGAGTTAGGGCACTCAGAAGAAGACATGCCAACAAAGTGATGTGATGGCTGTGGGCCCAATATAGGAGATTCAATGTTTGAAAACAGAGGTCTCTCAACTTACTGCCCCTATTCTAGAGATGTATGAGACTAGTGTATAATTTTTGGAGTGTAGCACCACCAACTGGCTCCAAAGAGCTCAGAGAAAGTAAAGTAAAGGTTGATGAACTGCAAGGAGATCCAAGATTGAAATGGAGAGAGAGAACTCTGAATAAGTCCATCTCCCCCAAACCTCTTGTGTTTCAGATGTGCCTCCAACCAGAAAAAGAAGCATTTATAAAGGTGACATTCCAGATGAGAAGGGAGCAGATGAACACTCATGGTAGTGTTGTCCTGATCCAACCATGAGGCAGAGTCTATCTAATATCCCATCTTGTGGGGAACAGCAAACATGTGAAAAGAAAAACCCAGGATGAGAAGGACCACCTCATTTGATGGCACGCTTATGAAGTAACTCCTGAACTGCATTTGAAAGACACTGATATAAAATGGGATCCTGTAAATGGAATTGGAGGACAAGACCCTCTGAGACGACTCTCAGAACCAAAGTATCCACAGCAAAGGACTTCCAAACATGGGCAAAGTGAAGGAGTCTGGCCCCCATGGACCTTAAACGAGAACATAGTCACTGAAGCTGGCAACACTGAAAATGACACCTGACAAAGTATAAACAGTGAGTTTCTGAAGCCTAAAAAGCCAGAACCTGGAAGGAAAAAGGTAATCAAAAAATTCGGGTCTGTTTCCCACAAAGGAATAAATGACTCCAAATGCTGTAAGGTTAAATAATGGAAGTTGAAATGATGATAAGCGGAATCAAAATCTGCCATAGTATGTGGGGGTCAAGGCATAGTTACTCCCCCAAAATGACTTGCATGAATCCCAATATCTGAGGAAGGAGGAACCCCGAAATATTGACCTAAAGGATCATCCATGAGTAGGGCAGAGGTGGAACAATAGAAAACAGAAGATAAGAACAGAACATGCTTAATTAATCAAGTCCACAAAAGGTGAAGGAGGCCTGGGCAATACCCAAAAAACAACATGTGACTGATAGTGAAATCCAGGAAGGGGAAAAAGGCTGTCCAAATCTGCCTCTTCCTAAACAATCAAACCTTGAGCAGATATGACAGAACCATCCACAGTTTGTTCTGAATGTTTCATGAAACTCACCAATTCCTGACACACCACAACCATCACTTCATGTGATGACAACTTTGGTTCTGACCCCATGTATGTGGTCGGGAAAGACTGAAAAGTGTCTGAAATGGTGTGTGCAAAATTTTTGCAAGTGAAGAAGGAGAGAGGAGATAAAAGAAAAAATATAATTTGTAGCTCTCCAACAGAATTAACAAAATCTAAATAAATGTAACTGATTTGGAAAAAGAAGTTGAAAGGCCTGAAAAACAAGAAAGTAAAAACTTTTGTGTAATTCAATCAAAATTGCAACTGAATAACATGTCTGTACAAAAATACTGCCAATTGAGAAGTGGTTAACAGCTGGAAGATTAGAGAGGGCACTAGTTATTATATGGGTAGTGTCGCACTCCTATTGGTGGAGGGTTACTGCATAATCATTTCCATGTTAGGATACAGATATCTCATGTTAAGATATGTGAGGGTAAGTGGAAGTATCAAGGCTAGTGGCGAGCAAATATTTGCACTGACAGAGGGTAGTTTAAGTTGATAAAAAGCTTTTTGTGTGAGAGGTTAGATATCATATCAGAATATGCATCACCTTCTTTCGTGGTCTGCCTCTAGTACCTCTTCTAACAACTGGCTCTTCAACTGCTTCTTGATCTGTTGTCTCATAAACTGTCTATAAAAAATTATAATAAAAATAGAAAAAGGTAAAGTGAAAACATGAAATATCCATTTGAATACCATGAGTATTTCTAAGTTGATAATTTAAAGTGCATAAAGTAAAATAATAACACTATGGCTCAATATGCTGTACTCAAATGTTTGATGCACTTCATATTTGTGAAATACATACAAAATGATATAGTGGTATTTCCTATCCTTCACTACATGGCACTTCTTATGTTTGATGTATTACTTGTGGAGTACATACAAAATGGTATAGTGGTATTTCCTATCCTTCACTTTTTTTCTTACAGATGCATATTTCAACTTTATCAATACAGAAATGAAATTTTATATCTTAGGTAGTTTTCCACTTACCACATGTACAGCTAATACATAAAGCATGACTTGCAAGATCATTATCATAATTAGTGTCTTACTGAACTACATAGAAAAAAAATGTTGACTTTAGTTTACATGTAAATGTTTCCATGTTAACCTAGTAACTGGTATCTGCTCTGTGGTTCAATGGGTGAGAGGTTTCCCTCAATCACTCACTTATGTTAGAGATATTTGATTAAAAGAAGCTTTAATGTTAACTTACTTAATATTATTTGAACTAGCTTTGCAAAGCAAAAAATAACTTAGACTTTTTTAATTGTCCAATGTTTCAACTATGGGGTCATTTTGTTTTCAATATATGAAATAGTTTAACAATATAAAACTCTCAAAAGTAAATTTGACCAGTATGAACTTTTTAATATTGACCTTGACAGTTATTTATTCTTTAAGCCCAAAGAAGTTTTCATAGCCTTAAATTTCTGAAATTTGTCAACAAAAATAGTTTGACCTCTGTGTGATCTTGACTACTACATATGTATAAAGTTAAAAATGGAACTATTATTTTAACAATGACATCTGTCTTATATAACTATAATTTTTTTGTGCACAAATAAGTATCACACATAATTGTTTAAACACATATGACAATAAAAAAAGACATTACAATGGCTGATCTTTACTACTATTCTAACCATTTGCTTTGAGAGTTTGCTTAGGTATAATGAATAGGAGAAATCCAAAACATATATATGTACAAAATAAATATTTCTTTTAATGGATTAAGTATCCTTTACCCAATTTCATTGTCGTACAAATTTTTTAAAGTTATGAAAACAAGAATTACTAGTGTAAGCTCATTGATATCTCTGAACAGCTTTTTACACTACCAATCACCTAATAATTTACCTAAGCAGTGACCCTGAGAGGATGCATAAACTGTGATAAAGCATCAAAATATTTCCTGTAATGCTTCAAACAAACAATATTTTCCTGACTTTTGAACTTCTACCTTTAACTCTTAATCACCTGGGTGCATAGATTTAACACACCTGTTTATGGTTTATTTGATTACATTGCATAAAATAAACAAAAAACTAATGGATGAAATAGTGCAAAATTAAGATGAACTTTATACAGATTAAGTAGCTTCTACAAATAAAATGTCTTATTCTGATGTAATATTTGCATGAATTTGCAACTTTGAATATTCAAAAAGATTTGTGATGTTTTTTAAAAGGGAATAAAATTACTTATGTTTCTTGTAGATTTCAGTTCTTGATTTTATGTCTTCCTACGTTCTTGTAAAACTTGCCAATAAATTTAACAGAAGTTGAATGATTAGACACCTTAATGTAATGTGTTTTTATAAAACTTTTGCCTGAAGTATTCTAGCAAGTAATATTTTTAAACTAGTGTTTTAGTTATTTTCAGAAAACCAAACAGATGCAACTTTTCATGTAAACAAATTTCATATTTTCAAGTGTTCTTAAATTACTTCTCCTTTATATAGATCTTGCAAGTTCATTTAAACATCAAATAGATATTAAAAATGGCACAATGCACCCAATGATCATACACTATTGACCAATCTGGTTTTGACCAGACTGCCAGTGGACTAAGCTTATATTAAAGTATTGTTGATCATAACTTTATGGTGCCTAGATGGCTCCATACCACCTCTAGGGCAAATTGCACCACTGAAACAAAAACAATTATAGAAAATAAACTTGTAGTCACTTCACCAAATATTTTTTTAAAACAAATACTTCAGAGATACTATTTAATGAAAAATGTTTTATTTAATTAATTTTATATATAAAAACCTAACAAATCACAAATTTTGACATCAGCATGCTCTGAAAGAAGCTATTGTTGTTTGTGAATTTCCTGAACTTTTATAAACATAGACCCTTAAGAGGCAAGTTAAACAGCTTTTAACTTTGTAATTTCAGTACAAATATAATTTTACCAATTTTAACCAAAGTTATAATTTTCATATATTGAAAAAGTATTTCTGATAGGTACTTCCCTCTCCTCACAAGATTAGCTATTCTCATTCATTGCTGCCCTCTATACGTGAACGTTTTTATGACACATGCCACAAGCTTTCCGTACCCCCTATTGGAATCAAATGATTCCAACGTCTCTCTCTCATGCAGATCATCACGTGTCACTTCTCCACCAATAGGAGAATAGTACGCTCACGTTATGCATTTGACTTCCTCTATGCACCTCTACCGAACTATCACTTTAACATTTCGCAAAGTGAGTGGAAGTGAGTGAGGAGGAAGAGTGAGAATTGTGAGAAGAGGGAAGTACTTATCGGAAATACATTTGCAGTATAGGAAAATTATAACTTCTGATACAGTACAAGATTAGCTAGAATCCCACACTGATTAGGAGGAGGAACCTGTGCAAGGGAAGAACAGATGTACCCCCCCCAAAGCATCCGAAGGAAACCTCTGTATGTGAGAGAGTCAGATCCAAAGAGGGTAACTGCACCAAATCTGATCCAGGCATAATCTTTGCACATATGTGGAATGTATAAGAAATCAGAGTAGAAAATGAGAATAGCACATCCGAGTGGGACAGAATGGAGTAGGAAAGAGATCCTAACCAGAGAAAGATATAGTAACTCAATCCCACAATAAAAAAAATGGGTAAATGAGGAAGCGTCCCATGGTGTAGAGTGACTAGGGTGCAGCAGACTGTACTTGGTAAGTCAACTGCATCCAAAACTGCATCGTGGGTACCTACATCTGTGTGAGGTTTGGATGAGGATCATACTGTCTTCACCTCAAACCCAAGAACGAGGAAATTGAGAAACACTCCAATTCCTGGGTAATACACAGGATTAGCTTTGAGCTATAGATCCAGGGAATTTGACATCCAGTATCAAAAGGAAATATATTACATGCAATTGACACCTGTGACTGTGAAAAAGGTCAGGACTATCCAAAGGACAATAACATCCACATAATAAGAGAGAATGAGGGAGAGCTAAGGACAGAACCAGAACAATCCCACGCATCCCTGTTGTGACCCACAGCACAGAAGGAGGAAATCGAGGGAGGAAGATAGACAACTCTAAACCTGTGTGAGGACTTATGTTGATTGGTTCACTCCAAATCCATAACCAGTCAGCAGGGTACCAACATCCATGCAAGAGTAGGATGAGGGCTCCCATTTTGCATTTTGACATCTCACTTCATTGTATGGTTAATCGCAAATCGGAGGATATTATGCCATCTAAGTTGGCAGAACATCATCGCCCTACTCTGAACTGAATGTTTATAGCCATCTTATGTGGAACCCATCCAGCAGGGTGCCTCCACGGTCGATCACCTCAGCAGCTTGGAACTGGTAAGTGGTACGGACTCCCATAGTCCACTAGAAGAAAAGGGGGCTGAGAGTGCATTGGAGAGCTCGGAGGAATGTCAACACCCGAGACAGTGCAATGGGTGATCATGAGACCCTATTCTGAAAAGCAGACCATACTGATTTATTCAAATGAGGCATGGCAGGGATGGGCAGCTATTCCCTTCTGTTTTAACCATGAAATCCATGGATGGTACAGTCCAGGACGGGCCAATTTATGAAGCAAATATAGCAAGGTTATTCATCTACAAGCAATCTTATGAAACACTCCATTTCAAAGGTGAGAGTGCAAAGCCATGGAAAGGAAAGCCCTAGTCAACATGGCATACAGTGTGAATTTAGAGTTAAAGAATATCTGGTCAGGCACCATTCCTCACAGAGTGAAGGTATGAAAAATGGGCTCTGGAAAGAAAAGAAACTATTAATGAAGACTTACCCAGTCTCAGAGTCGCAACAAAGTCTGAAGTACAACCACATGCCGATTGTAGGATTTCCTCCAAAGGCCAATGAAAACGAGAAGCAAGGGAAAAGGTGAAATGTTGGATTTGATAAGAGGTAACATAGAACAAAGTACGGTAGGAAGGGAACAAGGAGGAATAAGGCAACTGAATTAAATGACAAACCCAATCAGTAGGGTAAAAGGGGAAAGATCTCTGGAAAAATAGGGTTGCTATGGGATAAAAAGATGGGAACAGAAACCACGGAAGGAAGTCATGCAGACAATAGAACAATGAAGGGCATGCACAGAACATAGAAGTCCATTTGAATCAGGATGTGGGTAGAGATAAGAAATAGAGGGAAGGGAAATAGGCTAAAAGGAGGCATTAGCCTCATGAGCCAGCAAGGTTTTTGGGAAGGAAGGAGCAACCTGGATAAAGGAGAAGATAGGTATGGTGGTAAAGTGTGCATGTAAAGTCGATGGCGAACAGGTCAGACTTCTGACACCCACAGGCCAAAAGAAGAAGGAAATTTGCCTTAAGGAACAGGTGAAACAAAGTACACAAAGGAAATAGGTTTGAATGAAGGTAAAGTAAGGGAATGGGGGACCATATTAATACCCCAATCTGGAAGAGAAGTTGCTGAATTCAGAAGGAATGGATTAAAATGGTAAGGATGGGTGAGAGAAAAACCCTGGAAATTTGAAAGCTTATCAATAACCTGAAATTGAGGAGACCAAAGACCCTGGGTCAAATAGCCACGTGAGATACTCAGAAATCCCAGCAACAGTAGGACAAGCAGCAGGAAATCTCCAACTCTGGGCTCACATGCAAAAGACCTTTCACTTTTGCTGATACACTTCCATGGAGGAAGGACAGATGGATTGTAGTTGGAGTAAAGGGGGAAAGCATGGTTGAGCTGGCCAGTAGGGAGCAATCAGAAGGACCCAGCACATAGGAATTTGTGTGACCAATCCTGGCTGAAGGCACCAATAGCCAAAGCCTAAGGATGAAGTCCCCAGGGACTAAAAGAGGGGTAACTGGTGATTACAAAGCTACCAGAAAACAAGAGGATGAAGGGACCACTCTGTGAGGTAAATCTTGTTGGGGCGGGAAAGACAGTCCACCACAAGGTTGAAAGCACCTGGGACATGACATGCAATTAAACAAATGTGTTGCGTGTGAGACCAATATAGGAGATCCAATGTCTGAAAACAGATGGATCTTGACCAGATGAAACCTTGGTGATTGATATATGTCACTACCATTGAACTGTCAGAATGGATCATTACCAGAAAATTTCTGGCAATGGGAAGAAAGCGATTCACAGCTTGATGAATGGCTAGGAGTTCTAGAACGTTGATGTGTAAAGATCATTTGTCAATAGACCAACAACATGAAGCCTTCTGGTGTTCGACCTACACATCCCAGCCCTGAAGGGATGCATCCATAAACAGACGAGGAGGAGGAAGTGGGACACCTGCCAATGTGGGAGTCTTGTCCAATGACCAAAGGAGATCGTATACAATGGAAGTGTTATGGGAGCATCCAAGGGATCCCGAGCAAGGTTCCATTGATCATGCATAGCCCACTGAAGGGAGTGCGTGTGTGCATGGCTGCGGGGGATTAGAAGTACCATAAAAGTCCACATCCCCAAAGGTGACAGGACCTTGCATGCAGAAAGTGAGGGAGCAGACAAGGCATGGCAAACTGACAATTACATAAAATGGAGTCGGAGAAGAAAAGGTTGAGCATGACTGAGGTGAGAGTTAAAAAAGACACCCAATTGCACAAGGTATTGGGTATGATGCAGGAAGGTCTTCTCTAACTTGATCAACCAGCCTACCCGAGCAGCTTCGAGAAGGAGCTGACTAGTATGACTGGCCAACTTCTGTTTTTATTGGGTGAGAAGTAGCCAGTCATCCATGTAAGAAAGAAAATGCAGCCCTTGGGCATGAAGATGAAGAGCAAAAGCTCTCACCACCTGATAGAAAACATAACGAGCAGAAGCCAGCACAAAATTGGTACATCATCCTTTGATAGACAAACCGAAGATATGGACTATTGGAGATATTCATCTTGGTCATTCACAGACCTGGAGAAAATGGCCACTGAAAAGTGAGGTAGGACTCCATGGTGAAACATGGAAGGAGAACAAATTGATTGAGGTGGGATAGATCGATGACAGGCCTGCAATTTCTGGACTTTTTGGGAACAACAAACAGATGGAAGTAAAACCCTAGTGAATGATGTGGAAAAGTTCGATGGCTTGGTGGGTGAGGAGGTCTTGTACCACTTTTGATAGATGCTGGCAAGTTATGGGATCCTGAGGAGAAGAAAACAGGTACCTGGGACAAGGGAGGTGGGGCAAGAAATGGAATTTCAAGGCCCTCTGACAAAACCTTAAGAATCTAAATATCAGTGATGAAAGAACGCCACCGATGACAAAGGCTGCAAGTTGAGCTCCCACTGGGTCCAAACCCAACAGGTAGTCACCAGAACTGTTGGTGGTATATCATTCATCATCAAGAAAAATGATGAGCTGTGGCTCTGTGAGAAAAATGGACATGTAAGGGTTGGGAAGGATGGGAAACTGGAATCAGCACAACACCCAGCTTCGAATGAGATAATGGGCTAGCAGATGGGTAGATTGTTGCTGGACAAATACCATCTGAGACTCCAAGGACTCCAGGACCGTATAAAAGATGAAACATGTTTCAAATGGAGCCATACACAAATCCTGGAGACAAGGAGGAGGTAAACAGGTTCTAGATGAAACAGCAGCATGACCTAAAAAGTCCCAACAACAGATAAACTACATTTGTAAAGCCAGAGCCAAAAACAACAAATAAGGAAACTTGGAGGTAAGGAGGGAGAAGATTTACCCATATAATCTCTCAGGATTGCTGTGAAGAGCCTCAGACAGGAGATGGATTGTGGAAAGGTACCTCAAAAGAGTCGGAGGCCGGAATATTGGGCATGGGTGGGACTAACAGGAGATTCAGAGCCCACCCCAAACGAGTAAAAACAAACCCAACAGTTGTTGATCGAGATATGGATAGTCAACCCTATGATATGTATGGGTAGACTGATCCAAAGCCCGTGGGGAACGAGGCATACTAACGCCATCACCCAACCGAGAGGTGAATTGTTCAGAATGAACATGAATGTCGGGGGATGGGGAAAAATAAAATAGGGTTGGGAAGGATATTCATGCAGTAATGAAGGATGCAGGTCATAAGGTATAGGAGCAAGGGATAGAACATCACACACCTGAGAAATAAAGTCCAAAAAAACAGTGAAAGGCCAAACAGAATCCTCAGGAAATGTATGGGAAGGCACAGCAAAGTCAGGAAGTAGAAACAGTCCTTGTCAGCCTGCCCAGGTTGCACAGGTTCAGGAGAAAGTGAGGCAATGTCTGGAGATAGAGATAGATCCATATAATGTTCAATCACCCTGCAAATAAACATAGACAAATCTCCTGAAGGGTAGCCAGCACCTGAAGCCTGTGGTAAAGCACCTGTCGAATGTGAGACACCCGAAATGGTGACATTAATTTCGGAATTCATGTTGTACAATTCGATAAAATCGTTTGAAGGAAGAAATAAATGCAACAAGAACAAGGGTAATTGTGCCTGAATGCTTTAAAAAAAACAAATGTGAAATCAAACTAATTCAATCTCAAACACTAATTAAGATGAAAAAAGAAAGACGTCCGAGTGCAAGCGCTGCCAAACAAGAAGTGATAGTTTGGTAGAGGTACTTAGAGGGAGTCACATGCATCATGTGAGTGTAATATTCTCCTATTGGTGGAGAAGTGACACATGATGATTTGCATGAGAGACACATTGGAATCATTTGATTCCAATATGGGGATGTGGAAGGCTTATGACATGCATAATAAAAAGTTCACATATAGAGGGTAGCAATGAACGAGAACAGCTAGTCTTGTGAGCGGAGGAAAGAACCTTATTGGAATCAGTGCTTCTATGCCTTAGTTATCATGTACATGCCTATCTCTCTGCTTTAAGAAGTCATAAGCTAGTGAACTAAACACACAACGAAAGCTCCTCTTCTGTTCTTTTCAACAGTATAAGTCAATATGGCCTCCTGTTCAGTAATATATTCACATAAAGCTTAGATTGGTATTATAATGGCAAGTGCTTTGTAGTTTTTGTTGAAATTCTCACAATGCTATTTGAGTTGTATACACTAAATGTTTCTAATTTTGAAGTAATACACTAAAGGGAAGATTGCTAGTCAATACCCACTGTCAACTTGTGGGCTACTCTAAGTGAATTGTGCAATTAGACTATCACTCTTATAATAAAGTAATGGCCCCTAAATTTGGAACATAATTATTTTTTTTTGGTGGCAATGAGGTATGAACCAGAAACCTGAGATCCACAGTCCAGAAAGCTAACTGCTAAGTTATACTCAACCTATGTTGTGAGAAGAAAAGAAGCTTTACTATTTTATATTTCAAACTGATTATGATGTTGCTGTATAATATGAAAATATGTTGTTCATGGGACAAAATGAGGAAGGTTTAGTTAGTCAGATCATTTTGTACTTGAGTGTTTCATATTTCATTTTGCCAACAAGAACACCTTACTGGCCTAAGTCATTGCTTTAACAGGCAAAGAAGATCACCAAAAAGAAATTAAAAATATATGTATGGATGAATAAAAAAACAGATTTGAATCTTATTACATACATTAAATTAAATTTTCTGATTAACAATTTAAAAACAAAAGACTTCATTATAATTTTGGTATGGTATAAAAGTTATTTTTTGTGCATCAGTTTATAAAAAACACAAAAAATTGCATTTGGTGTTAAGTCAAAACAAATGTAAAATTTACAATTTAATAATATAAATAATTTATAAGAAAATCTTAAAAGAATGTAGGAAGACACAAATATCAGTAACTGAATTCTACAACAAAGTTATGCATTTTTAATTGTTTTTTTTAAACATATTACAATGAAATCTTTTTGAATTTTCAAAGCTGCAAATTAATACAAATATCACATATAAAAAAATAAGACACTTTATTTGCAAAAGCTCATAATATGTAGAAAATTTATGTCAAGCTTCAAAGTATTTCATTTAGCATTTTTCTTTTTGTAATGCAATAAAACAATTCATACAAGTTCATTGAAAGGATACATATGGGCATTTCTGAGTTAATGCTCATCATACTACTTCAAATATGTAACAGAAAAAGCTTTCCTTATGACTTACTTTAGACCTCTGATTATGATAATACCCTCCTTTTGGAGGGCGTCCTCTTCCTCGTCCTCTACCACGACCACGAGTTACAGCTGGCTTGGGTGGTTCCTCATCATCATGTTGATTAAGATGTTTCTGTAACTCCAATGAAGTTGAAAATTGTTTGTTGCATTCGAAGCAAGGCCAAGCATTTTCTTCATCTTCCACTACTAGAAGTACGTGAATTATGTCTTAAGCTTAAAGAATGGTTCTTTTCTTTCAATATTGAGAGGTAAAAATATTTGTATGAACTGTAATATAACAAAAATAAATAGCTAATAATCTCAATTCGTTAATTACAAATTAAGCTTAATATATTTGAAAATGAAAAATTTATAAAAAATATTTGTATAATTTTGAGATAATTCCAACACAAATTTTTTAAAAATATCTCAAAAAATGAATGATTTTTTATGAATATATGAAACAATGATGTCTACAGAACTGATTGTTTGAACAACTGCTCAGTATCATTATATGTCAATTTGGTTCAAATCTTGGTTTGCTAGTTAACTTTCATCTGAAAATATTGCTCAAATTGGTCATTTATTCACAATAAAAGAATCAACCTGATTTTGATACATTCCAATTATTTTTTGTTTTATCTTATCTTTAACAACAACTTGACACATAGTAATAAGATAAAAGAAGATACTCATGAAATTATTTAGAATTTCACTATAAAGTAACTTGGACTCCTGTCTTTAACTGTCACAGAGTTTCTACTTTCAATGGTGGAATCAATGCCCAAGGAATAACACCACAAACTTGTACACAAACAGAATTCTGCCAATGTTAATGAACACTTCAATAAACAATTCATATAAATAATTTTTGAATTTACTTATTTTTGTTTTTCTCTGAAATTGTTTACAGAAAAATATTTTAAAATAATAAAGCAATTTTACAAGAACTTTCCTGAACATTCTGTTTGTAATGAATTTAATTTAGTGAACCTACTGTTTCATAATATCAAAATTATTCCACATTATAGGTAGTAATATACAGAAAAAAACTCATTTACTTCATGCCCCTTAACTAATGGATAATTAATATTAAAGTGTTAACCTCTGACAACTTCTCTGCATTAGCAATGCATAGATACTTTAATTTATATAATGTTGTTAATTTAGAAGATTTTGCATTGTATTACAATTTCATAATAGCTTTATTTGGTCAGCACAGAAAATTGGTCTTGAGAGTACATACACTCATGATTTTGTACCTAGCATGTGATGGTATGTATGTTTCTCTTATTAATTTGCAGTATTGTTTTTTTGCTTTTGCTTTGTGACATCTTCCATCTACCTGTACCAGTACAAATACTGAATACAGTTTTTTTGTGTGCTCACACTTGTTTATTTAACTGCACCAAGTAAGCCCTAGACAGAAGAAAGCATCATTCTCTAACTATTTAAGAAAATATCAGGCTATTACTACTCAGAAAAACATTAAAACTATCAGTTTTGTCATAGAAGAGATAAAAAGTGTACTGTAGCCAAATGAAAAGAATAAGTAAAAAATTTTAGACCACAAACAGAATATATTTCCAAATATACTTTTTAAAATGGCTACATGGCAAATGAAGACAAAATATGACTCTTTTACCTGATGATGATAAAGTAAACTTGTTGAAATGCCATAATTTGTCTTTTTCTTGTTTTTATCTTCCCTTATAGCCATTTTAAGTTTATTTATTTAACTAGAAATGTGTTTTCATAATTTCTATACAGAATACATTTCTGCCACAATCATCAAGAATAAGAATGGAATTTTAACAAATCAAAAGCATTGTGTGTGTGTGTGGTATTACATTACAATAAGTTTTACAGTATATCATTGTACATCATTCTTTACTGTAGCCTCAGTAAAAGGTATACGCAATAACATTTCAACACTACTTAGTTGTTATATTACACTGTTGGTGAAACCTTTTACTTAATATAAGAGCTCATTGGACTGGTAGTTGCAATAAACAAAGCCTTAGTTGAAATGCTATTTATATTAATCAACTTCAACCATTAGTTACATCAGCTGGCAACAATATGCAATAAGGTACAAATGAATTATCATTCTACATTCTTAGAGGGACAATAAAGAAAAATGTGATGTAAAGTACTTTCAGTTTTAATTGTACTACCCGATTTCATGCTTCACCAGCTAAGGCATTCTAAGCTGACCCTACATTTCCATATGTTGAAGAGTCACATTACCTGGGACTAAAACAGACGAGAAATCAGAATATGTCCTTTAACAGTCCTGTTTTTCAAAATAATGCTGCTGTTTTAACACATTATTTAAACAACAAAATTCTGGGGAAAATGCTGCTGTACCAGAAGAGCCTATGAATGAGTAGATGGCTAACAGACTTCTTTTGGTATTGAACAAGTATCAACAAAATTATATTTTTATTGCTGATGAAACTGATCTTTTTATAAAATTTTACCTGAGCTTATTCTAATGTTTAAACTTGATATTTATGGTGGTGGAAAGAGAGGTTTATAGGATAACTTTGTTTCTGTGTGCAAATGTGGATGCATCAGAAAATCAAAACATCTGAAAAATCTAAAAACTCTTCCAATTAATTACAGTAAGTCTAAATAGACCCTGCTCTACTTACCCACTTTTTCCAGTGACTAGATGAACTTGTATTCCTTTTGTTTGTGTAAGTTAGACTCATCTAGTCATGTGACTTTGGCAGAAAAAGCAAAAGCTTAAATTAAAGTTTAAGAGTCCATTCAATACCACAAAATTCTAAGCAATGGGAGGTTTAACAATGGAATTGAATGTCAACCTTTTAGATGGTGCTTTCTGGCTAAAAACAGCTTAGAAATATTTCAGAAAAACATGACTTGCAATTATTCCCAGGAGTTCAACAGATGTCAATGTGAAAGGTAATTCAGAACTATTAGACAGTTTCACATGTGAATATACAGAGTTACAGGTGGTAAGTTTGAATTTAGCAGTGTAATTATAAGCTCAAACAATTTTTGATGTTGGCAATGATGAAAATATTGTTGTTGTTGTGAGAAAAAGTAAAAAAAGAAATAATGATTTTCCGGAAACAGAATAACATGATGACAAAGTCAGTGTACCACCAATACAGATTCCATCTGTTTAGATGTTAATTTTAGACAATGTACATTCTTCCTTACAATTCAAACCTGATACAGAAGGTTTCCTTTGTCACAGAGAAAATACACCTGTTCACTTAAGATCAGAGGTCAAATGACAGAAATTAAGCATGTGTGGAGGATTATTTCTCTTCATTACCATACTTAGTAATCACAAGTAATATATCTCATTCACTTTAGATCTTGACATGATGAATTATGTTTCTCAATTATTAACTAAGCTTAGTGTACTACAACTTATAAAGTGTGGTATAATGTAACTGTTTCATTTTACAGATTATATTTTTTCTTTCCGGTCTAAGCCTTAAATTTTCCATTGCATGTATTAGCTATAAAATGCAACATCTAATCTTTGTTAAAGACATTGATGTTTGTTTCCAAATTTAAAAAATATGGTGTTTATTGTCTTTTACTTTATTTCAATTTATTTAATACAAAGCTATAGAGGGTCAATTCATAAGAAAGATTTTACACAGTGAGCTGAGACAATACTATGACACCAGTGTTGACTGCGATTTATATTATAGCTATGTGTTTGGGTTATGACCCAACATCATAGTTTCTACTGCAGGAGGGTAGGTAGCAGAGTGGAGAGAGAGAGATGGTTGACCACTTCCAGTACATTTTCCAAAAGCCACTAAAAACTGCAAGGTTACATACTTTCTAATGTTCACTTGAGGAGACTGAATAAAGAGAGGTAAAAATTGGTGTTTCTTTGTTTGTTGAATATTCATGAAAAACCATTTAAGCATTATCTACATGAACCATCACCAATTTAGAAGTTATTGACTAGATGGAAGGCAATTAGTGTCCCCCCAACTCTTGGGATACTTTAATCAAATAGTGGGATTGATTGTCACATTATAAAACCTCCATGGATGAAAGGGCAAGCATGTTTGTTAAGGGTACTTGAGCCTGCAACCTGCAGATTACAAGTCCAGTGCTCTAAGCACTAGGCCTCTCTGGTTTTGCACCTTCAGACTTGACACATATTCCATTATGTGAAACAACAAAGAACTTTAGTCTCTTTCCTGATGCTATTCATACACGAGCCTTGGGGGTGGGGGTGGGGGAACAAAGAAAGCTATTTTTGCAATGGCCCCCAAATTCAGCTAAGGGCCATATAATAAGGTGTAATTTGCATATGTGTTTTAATCTGGTTTGACTTGAAAAGTCTCACACAATTTGCTATTTTGGGCCACCTTCCAAGCTTGAGGGTGGTGGCCATCACTACTGCCCCTAGATTCCCACTTAATTTTAAGCCATACTGTATAAGTTGTGTATGCCATCCAAATAACCTGGATCAAAAATGTTCGTTTGGTAATATGTTGCACTGATTTTGATATTTTTGTCAACTTTATACAGAGCTGGCTTGCACTTTAGGGTATAATGTTGTTACCATGAAATCTTTAAGAAGTGTCTTTACAATATCTGACTCACTCTCTATGACCATTTGCATCCTCATTTTCAGTTGAAAAAAAAAATCCCTCAGAATTTGTTACAGTTATTAGAAAGATCCATGCCTTATCAATGGTTACAAAAAAATTTCCATTGTCCACCTCTCAGATAATATTCACAGCTTTCAAGTGATTGGCTTCATTTTGTGGTGCCCTCCCCAACAAGATTTTGCCTGATAATGGACTGTACTGTAGACTATGGTAAAGTAATGTGCTGTGCACTACTTCTTTGTGTGCTTGGATTTTTGGTGGTTATCACTGCTTTTACTTTATTTACTACTCCCTATCCATTAGTTCTCTAGTGCTTCTGTTTTCTCATATGTAGGTTATGACTGACTTTAAGACCGTAAAATTCCACATTTCATACTGCTTGATAGTCTGGGGATACTAATAACCATAACATTACATCAAAAATGGCTGTTATACAAGTTTTTCTCAAAAGTGAAATGTGTGCAGCTTAATGCAATTTATGATGCCAACTGATATACTGGTGAATACTATAAGGTCAATCCAACACATAAGTGATCTCAAGCACTTTACAATACAGCAGGGGAAAGGCATATGCAAAATCACTTTTAT